TAATTATAATTATAGTTACATATATATATATATATATATACATATATACATATATACATATATACACATATATATATATATACATATATACACACACATATATATATTCATTCATGAGAACACATACAAATACATATCAATTATGAGCATATTTACTTGTGTCGGAAAGCAATCGTAAGGAAGTGTAAGCCCCGTGGACGATATTGCGTATGCGACATGTATGATGTTTTTCTCGGCTGAAAAAATTTCGGGCACATAGAAGCAAATAATAATCACCTTAGCTCTAGCCAGAATAGAGTCCTTGGATGGATCGTAAGGTGTATCTTTTGAGGGGATTTCGAGTACTGCAGGTACGGGCTGATTATAACGATCAATTGCGTATCTAATTTCTGTCGCTATATTTTGGTTTATCAGAATGACTGATATATCGGGTCTCTGAGTAAAGCTTCGGAAAGCCTCCTCGATCTCTTGCGCAGTGGTGTCTATAGGAAAGAGATACAAACGAACTCGTTAGCTGTGCTTCATGACTTCGCTGTCGGCCGTAATTGAAGCTGACTCTTACATGGAAGAAATTAGCTTATCGCGGATAGACTCTGTGCATATTCGTGAGATAAAGATACTGCGCGTATTCGTGTAGAAAACTGTCAAGATAACTTGATCCACCTTTACAGAGTGAATCGGTACATGGATCTCTACAATCGCTCACGGTTCAAAAAACGTACGTGAACTAACTCACCATTTTTCACCACCAAAAAGTTAGAACGTTTCTTTGCGTCCACATCTCCTACACCAGCAAGCAAGAATCCAGTTACTGTATCCTATTTAGAACAGGAGCGCAAAGGGTCATGGTCGAATAGACCGTGTTCAGTGTTATCATGGATGCTTTCAATTAAAAAATTATCAAGGAGAGGTGATATACAACAGAAGGCAACGCGAAGATGTTTTGTTGCGGCCACAGCCTAGCATCATCACGGACGCAAAAGTGAAGGTGTCATTCTATTTATTGGTGACCAAAAAAAGGAGGTGTAATCGATGTACGTACGATTCGTAGATTCAAGCTACTTCTGTAATGCTGTTAAAAGGGCACAGTTGCGCTTATATAGACTACTAGCTGACCAAGATACCCAGCGATTTCTCTTGTTCTACCTCCCGTACCATATCATCGATATATACGGATATATATATACATATATACAATACCTCATTTCCGATTACGGCGATAAGTCCCTCTTTTGAAGCCGCCATTGCACTCAGGATGTGGGTGTAGTTCTTTATTTATCGTTCTATCCTTCGCCGTATTGTTTCAGTGATATTTGGTTTTGTAACGACAAGAGATAGTTGAATGATGCTGGTTTGGGTTGATATACTTACCTTTTATAGAGGAGAGGGCCGAATTTTAAATAAAAACAGACCCAAAATCATTTTTTTATAAATATTTTTTTGCGGGGAACCATAAGTACCGAACATGAGAATATTTACCCTGTCTCTTCTCCGACACAAAGTGACTGTTTATGATTGTGTATGTCAACAAGATTCGTATTCGTACACTTTCAACACAATCGTTGACAGACAGCCACTACTACCTAGCTAGCTGTACAACTTTGTATATACCATAGTCACCATGTCAATGCACAACGTAGTAGAGCCTGCTGCAGGTGGATTTTCGTTCGATAACGTTGAACGAAATGCTGCCCTAGAATCCTTTGGCCTGAAGATGCCCACGGCTGTCAAGACAGGTACTCATTTCATCTTGATAGCATTGTCACAGCACTGTCCTGGTTGATGTGTAGCTTAACCGAAAAGGTCATCTAGAACTCCATCGGCTTGTTTTTGGAAGTCTATTCTGTCTTATTGCTAGATGTCCATGTATGACTAAGAATATTGCTCGATTTGGGGTTCGATGATTTTACTGAATAGTCTCAGATTCTTGAACCTTACTCAAGCATTCCTTTGCGTTAGCCGTTGGTTCCTATACATGAATATGTTTCAACGGCCCGTGGATGAGTACGTGTAGTTGTCTATATAATCTCTTGACACCCTTTCTTCCTGAAGATACACTACTACCTTTGGGGCGGCCGTACGATATTTTTCTTAGCCCTACGCCAAAATATACCAACTTCATACTAAAGGCAAGAAGCGGATACAAATCAGTATTACAATCCAGACATGATCTCTATTGTTATCTATTAAGGTACACTTTCATTCCACGGCACATTTTCAAGGATATCATCTAGGTTTACACAGATTGTTTGTAGCCAACCTCTGATGTCTAGATATATCATTTTACATCTCTTTTTCGTTCATTTTCATTGAGGCTATTAAGGCCAAAGTGACGCTTAGAATCGGAGACTCTTTTGTCTCTCTGTCCTCATTGGGCTTATTTCATAGTCAGAATCAGCCGTTTGATATCCTTGTTCTTTTAGCGTAGCAGTTTATTTTTGTTCCTTAGAAAGCACTCCATTGTATATCTTCCGTACAGGCTAACTATAAGTTTGTATGATATACTTTGTCGTGACCCACATATTCATTCGCTAACACGATACTGCTTACGAATATCCCATGTGGTTCGTATCTTGAACAACGTCAGGTACTACCATTGTGGGACTTATATATAAAGATGGTGTCGTCTTGGGGGCAGATACGCGAGCGACAGACGGGTCTACAGTTGCTGACAAGAACTGTGAGAAGATTCACTACATAGCCCCAAATATCTACTGTTGTGGCGCTGGTACTGCTGCTGATACCGAAAACACAACCAACCTCATCTCGAGTCAACTTGAACTGCACCGTTTATCCACCGGACGCCAAAGCCGGGTGAGAACCGCCTGTAAACTGTTGAAGACTATGCTTTTCAGGTACGTAGGTTTACATGTAATCAAATTTACGCTCTGTATTGGATGCAGGGAATCTTATATCTAAACTTAGACTATGTAGGTATTATACGTGCAGATTAGTCATATCTGATTCGTCATCGAAAATATTTCTGGTTTGTTTTTGGTTTGCGTGATGCTCGTGGGAGCAGATCACTGTGGAATAGTCTTTGTGAATATTGGTCGCTTGTGCACAACTAAGCATGCTATAATTCGCGTTCGGCCTGCTCCGCTGCTGCTGATACCGCTGTTCTCTTTATCTTCAAAGGTACCAAGGACATGTGAGTGCGGCTCTTGTACTAGGCGGAGTGGATCTAGACGGACCCGTACTTTACAGTATTCATCCTCACGGAAGGTATGCAGTCGAGTGTAGATCTATTTAGTTGATATAACATAACAAAAATATAGCTCTCTGTAGCACCCCTTGTAGGCGGAAGGTTCGTGTGGTCATACTTGGTTGCTTTGCATTTCTTTTCGTGGATGAGTCGTGTGCGATCGATTCAATAACGTGTTTTCTGTTCCGTTTGTATACAGTACTGACAAGCTGCCATATGTGACAATGGGTAGTGGATCGCTGGCTGCTATGGGAGTATTCGAGGCTGGCTTCAAGCCAGATATGGAGCTTGAAGATGCTAAAAAATTGGTACGCGACGCTATCGCTGCGGGTATATTCAATGATCTGGGATCTGGTTCGAATGTCGATCTCTGTGTCATCACGAAAGACAATGTTGACTACTTGAGGACTTACGAAGAACCAGTGAGAAAAAACGAACGTGCGGAGAAGTCGTACAAGTACAAAAGAGGCACAACAGGTAAGTAGGTGACTTGTCACACACATATTTCATTTATCTAGTTTGCTTGTGCACTGTATACAGTGTCCGTGTTTTCTTCAACGATCTTCTTATAGTGTGCTATTGTATACCCGATAGCTCTCGACGTATATACAGGATTTGTATTTTTTAATGTCTAATAATGATTTTGACCTGCTTCATTCTTCTATCTATTCCAGCTGTCTTGACCACGTCTGTGCAGCACTTCGACGACGATATGCCCACTGCAATGGAGGTAGAGGCGTAGTTAAATGATGTTCGTGCTTCAATCTGGGCATCTAATCCTATAAATCCATCTTACTCATCTATGCCGTATGAAACCATAAATTGATTATATACTTCCGCAGTTATTGGCAAAGTAGGGATGTCATTTGTCCATCGGATTTTAAGGGGTCCATGGCACGGTTCATTGTATCTCATTTCACCTTTGTGTCTTTATCAGCTGATCTTGTGTATTTGTATGCCGATGGTATACTCTTTCTTTTTTTTTGGTTCCTACCAAGACCGTGGCGTTCCAGCACCGGGAGCTGTAGCTACCGAATGGACTGTCACTGTTGTCCCTGCACCTGAACCCATCTTCTTGCAGTGTACATTGTTAAGTTCTAGTATGAGTTCGTATCCGTTTGTACGCGTCGAGCGAAAGTGGTCACCGTCACGCTTGCTCATTTAGCTTTTGGCTCGAGAAGTGAGCTGAACCAGCTTCTTGATCCCTGATAACACTTCTCTGACAATAAAAATGGGAATCCGAGACGTACAGACTCAAATATAAGCAATCCTGGAGTATCTGTACTCGTTGCGCTTTGCGTGTTTATTTCTAAGCTGAACCAGCCGTCTACGAATTGAAACCCTACCATGGCCGAGGTTCAGCAGCTTTAAGGTGTTTGTTAGGACAGGAAAAGAAACTTGGTGTATGTGGTAAGCAGTTTTCATCGCAAAGTTGTTTAATCCGGTGTGACACTTATCAGGGATCAGAAAGGGCACAAGCACTATTCGTATGCCAGTTTAGCGCCTGTGCAAGGAATAGCACTGACAATCTGGAATTTGTATCACGTGGAGACAAGAAAATTTGAATCTAAAGCAATCGATGCGAGTTTGAGCTATATGTGTTTTGATCTCCGGTCGCACATGCAATCAAAGCACACGTAAAGGAGAGAATCCCAGACCGTTTTTTTGCATGTGTATGGACCCAGCTTTATTCACTAAGCCAATAGGTCTGTACGGAATCCTGCTATATCGTGGACACCAGCTTGACAGAAGCGAAACTAATTGATGAAACCCGGGCAACAGATAGCAATGGAAATAGAGATCTATTAGTTTCGGCATATACAAGGGCCAACAATACTTTTACTGTACTGTTTCTATATTTCAAGTCCTCGGCTCTCTTGTGATAAATTTTTTTTTGAGTTCGTTCAGGGAGGGTGTCCACACTTATCACCAGTCCATTCTATTGCCTCATTGTGATATGTGGGTGGAATAACCATCCTGATCGTACTTTGCGAACAAGTTTTCCTTGTTAATCATAGCTTTGAACTCTAAACTGTTGTTGGATGGATCTTTGAAAAACCTAAAATATATATCAAAAATTGGAAGTGAGTCAACTGCAATTCGATTTGTGCAAATATGCCGCTATACTGCTATGGAAACTGATCTGAGTCAATCATTGCGCATGACACATGATTGTATGCGTATATGTTTACGTAATCTTGTAAATTTAAATGTACAATGCTCTGGGCTGTTTAAGCTGATACAGCAGTGAAAAAATTGGTTCGTGTATATACATGTATACATAAACAATATTTATGTACACACACACACACACACACACACACACACACACACACACACACACACACA